CAGCAAGCTTATCAACAGGGTATGGCCTACCTGAGGACTGCTGGACAGGGTGGCATTGGTACCAAGCTTAGAGGGATTAAGGATGGTCAAAGGGGCTAGGAATGTAGCTCAGCTAACTGGCAGAGCACTTGCTTGGCATGTAGAAGGCCCTGGGTTCCATTCCCTGGAACAGAGAGATAGTAACACACTTTATCCAGCACTGGGGACACTGAGGCAGGAGGATCAAAGCTTCAAGACTGATCTGGGCAACTCTGTCTCAAAAAGCACCCGCAATTCCCCTCATTGGTGTATATAGTATCAACACCCTCAGTTCTAAGTCTCAAAAAGCACCCGCAGTTCCCCTCATCGGTGTATAGTATTAACACCTTCAGTTGAGTCTCAAAAAGCACCCGCAGTTCCCCTCATTGGTGTATGGTATCAACACCTTCAGTTCTAAGTCTCTGTGGTAGGTGGGCGCTATTATTTTGCCCCTTTTGAGATGGGGAAATTGAGGCTTGAAGAGAGGTAACAAGTACAAGGTGTCAGACGGTGGCCTAGAGCCTGCGCTTGTAAACACCGCCCGTCACTTCCTGCTGCATCGTGTCCACTGTGGCAAGGAGTCCACAGGCTGACAGCATGAGTTGCTGGCCATGATCGGGGGTATCACAGGCTCTTTTGGGTTTTTTTTTTTTTTTTTTTTTTTTTTTGAGACAGGGTCTCACTATTTAACCTTAGCTGGTTGCCTGGAGCTCCATGTGTAGACTAGTCTGGCCTCAAACTCAGAGATCTGCCTATCTCTGCCTCCTTCTAAGTTTTGGGATTAAAGGTTTTCTAGGGGCATTAGGGTGCCATGGGAGGCTTCAAGGAGGGAAGGGACGTATTAGGTTCAGACTTTTCCGTAGCATCGCCAGCTGCCCTCTGGATGAACTGCAAGGAAAGCTGGGTACTTGCAGCAGGAGAGTCCCAGTAAAAGGCTCCCAGGGCTCGGGCCTCACTACCGTCCTCCTCTGTGGGGTGCACTGTGGGATGGCGGTGGAGCCGCAGGCTCCTCCTCGGGTCTCAGTTTTATGCGCCTCTCTTACCCCCTCCCCTCTCCCCAGGGCTTCACCCCCATGACGGTTCCAGACCTTCTTCGAGGAGCCGTGTTTGTGAGTGAGGCCTGAGTGACAGGCCCTCTCTCTCTGCCCTGGGCTGGGTCCTGGAAGTCAGCCGGGGGGGTGGGTTTTCCAGATGCTTCTAGATGAATGGCAGGGGTTGTGACCCCCAAACAGGGGAGGCCAAAGTCACCTGACCCCTGCAACCTTCTCCTAGGAAGGCTGTGGAATGACACCAAACGCCAACCCATCCCAAATTTACAATATCGACCCCTCCCGATTCAA